TGCACACCGGGTGTTGACTCGGGTGTGCACACATCATTTTCCTTTACACATATTTGATTTAATGAATAAAATAGAATTTAATAAGATTTGTCAAGCATTACAAACTTATCTCCAAGACTATCGTTTTGCTTCCATTTGCTCTTTGAAATTCTTGGTAGGTGGCTATCTCTTGGAATCCAAGATTGAAATGACGCTAACCTCCATTTTCTACGATTGCCCTTCTCCGACCTCCAGTTTCTCCAACCTCTAGTTTCTTCAATTGCCCTTCCTTGACCTCCATTTTCTCCGATTGCCTTTCCCCAACCTTCCTTTTCTCCAAAACTACCACACCAAGATCTGCCATCAACCCGATTTTTGCCCTCATTCCATCCTCACCCATGTTAGAAGAACTAAGGTCAGGGCCTCTTGGGTTTTGTGGGTTTTCCTCTTTTGGGGATTTTTAGATCTGGGTTTTAAGGGGGAGAGCTAGTGGTAAAACAAAATGGTAGAAAGGGTTGGATTTAAGTAGAATTTGATTGAAGAACAAAAAAAGAGGTAATCCCCTCCACATTCATTTCAGATCTGGGGAGAAAGAGGCTTGGGTTTTAAGGATTTTGATATGGGTTTTGAATAGGAGAGCCGATGGCAAAACAAAATGGTAAATTGTAATTGAAGCCAATGGAGGACCAATTGAACCTTGGGTTTCCTCCATCTCAACTAAAATGGAATCTGGATAGGCTTGGGAAATTTTTTCTTTTTTTTTTTTGCATTTTTTTTAATTTCTTGTAAGTTGCTAGAAATGTCTTTTTGATTCTTTGTGAGTTGCTAGAAATGTCTAATGGGTGCTCCAAAGAAGATGTATTGTTGGCAACATTAGGCAATGTCCAACACTTTTTTGTCCATATGTTTGCTTCTTACATTAATGGTAACAAGATTAAGAAACTCAATAGTCTCTAGTGTCAAAGAAGATGGAGTAATGACCCAAAATTATTGGATATTTGCTTCTTACATAAATGGTAGCAAGATTAAGCCTTTCATTCAACTAATTCTAAATTGTAAAATATTTATGTTTTATTTAGTGTATAACAGACGATGATGAATGACGATCTACACCAATCATGATCCTAAAAAGATTATATCAATAACTTGATCCTAATATTTTATTTTACCACTCTTTTTGACTTGAAATAACATATTTTTTAATTTAGAATTAATCTAAAAAATAGTTGTTGTTTTTTTAATTTTAAATGACAATTATATACTTATAATGCTATATAAAATTATAAATTTACAATAATGATATGATATTAAATAAATATGATGTGACTTTAAATAAGTGAGTACATACGATATTACAAGTAAACTTTTGATTAAAAATAGTTAATTATATACTGACATATCATGTTAAAAACATTTAGTATGGTACTCTAACTTTTATTTGTTAAAAATTTTGTTTTTATAATATGAATTTTAGGGACCATTTTGAATGTATAGAAAATATTTGGGATATAAATAAAAAGTTTTCAAAAAATAAGGATATAATTCCAGTAAAATGAGTTTATGTCAATTAATTAATTAAGAATTAGGGTTCTTAAATATTTTTTCATTTATTAAGCCCAAAAAAGGAAAAACTTTAATTATATATTTAAATAACTTTAAATTTGTAGCTTTCTTTGGTATTCTTTTTTTTTTTCTTAATATTCTATGTAATAATTTAAAGTGTTTTCCTTCTAGCATCAAAATACATTTTTACCTTTTATAATTGAATTTATAATTTTTTATTTTTGCTAAATCAATTTAAATTATAGTTCATCTTCTAAACAAAATATTTAAGTATTTTTTTATAATATTATTGCTTATCAATATGACTTCCAAAAAAATTAAGAGGAAAACACCTTAAAACTACATTGATTTAATAAAATCAAAACACTTTCCTTCTAACTTAAAAAAAAAAAAAAAAAATTTTGTTTTTTCAATGTAAATTTATTAAAACAATTTAATGTTGTAGTGTTTTTCTTCATAATTTGTTAAAGATTCAACTAACAAACAAATTTCTCTTTTTCTATTCATTCTTCAATTAATCATTATATAATTTATTATTATGATATTTTGGTCTTTTATTATAATTAAAACATATATTTATTTTTAATTTTTATTAAGAATATATCAATGAAAAAGACCTATAAGGGAGAAGATTTAAAGAAAATGAATTAGTGTCATAAAAAAATACTCTTGAAAGCTTCAATCTTTAATAATAAATTTCACCTTCCAATTGAATTTCCTAGTTCCGTCTTTAGTTACATGACATTAGGATTATAATATTTTTATATTTTAAGAGAAATAAATATTTTTTAATTTAACTTATCATTATCACTTAATTTTAATTATTTATTCTATTTGATTTATTTTTTTT